CAGTGTGGAACAGTTACAGTACTGATCAGGGTCAGTGACTTGGTGTATGACGTCATACCTCGACAGTGGAACAGTTACAGTACTGATCAGGGTCAGTGACTTGGTGTATGACGTCATACCTTGACAGTGTGGAACAGTTACTTACAATACTGATCAGGGTCTGTGACTTGGTGTATGACGTCATACCTCGACAGTGGAACAGTTACAGTACTGATCAGGGTCAGTGACTTGGTGTATGACATCATACCTCGACAGTGGGGAACAGTTACTTACAATACTGATCAGGGTCTGTGACTTGGTGTATGACGTCATACCTCGACAGTGTGGAACAGTTACTTACAATACTGATCAGGGTCTGGACTTGGTGTATGACGTCATACCTTTACAGTGTGGAACAGTTACTTACCATAGTGATCAGGGTCAGTGACTTGGTGTATGACGTCATACCTTGACAGTGTGGAACAGTTACTTACAGTACTGATCAGGGTCAGTGACTTGGTGTATGACATCATACCTCGACAGTGTGGAACAGTTACTTACCATACTGATCAGGGTCAGTGACTTGTGGAACCAGCCTGCTTTTATTTCTGAGTGGTAACAATTAGCTGACACCTCCATCAATTCAGTCTTTCTTCAGTCGTTTCTCCCACATTAAGAGTGGCATTAACCAAACTCACTCTTACCATGGCAGTTTTTATGCATCGCCCCAAATTGATTTTACTTTTGAGAAATGTATTGTATTACAATGAAGTTTATCATTACAGCTCTGCAGTCAGTTGCCAGTAGTCTGGTGATGTTTAATTGTAAATTTGACGTCTTAACTGACAAAATTGTCTTCTTGTTCGTTCACGCGAAGCAATACGATTTCGTTTTCTTACCCCCTGAAAAACGTTTGACGAAAGTGTGACCCCTTCTACAGACTGTTTTTTTTGGTCCTCTAATTTCGGCTTGTCTATGGTAATATACGGTAACCATACACTTTGATTAGCATAGGCCTGTACTTGCACCGTGAGCAGAGGTGTTTGATCTTAGCTGATCTGATCTTTCGGCAGCCTTCGACACTATTGACCATCACACATTGTTGTCAAGAATGGAAAGTGACCTGAAAGTCAAGGGTACTGCTCTTTACTGCTCATGGTTCCAATCTTACCTATCAGATCGATCTCAAGTAGTTAAGATTGAGAGCAGAACATCATGTCCCACAGATCTCAGGAGTGGCGTCCCACAAGGTTCCGTGCTAGGACCAGTGCTGTCCTCTGTGTACACTACACCACTGGGAAGAATAGCAGACAAGCACAAAGTCAACCAACATCAATATGCAGATGACAATCAAATCTATTCATTCCCTACCACAGAAGCCCTGCCATCTTTGGACACTCTTTCTGATTCCTGCAATGACATTCAGACATGGATGACTAAAAACCTACTGAAACTTAATGAAAGTAAAACAGAAATCCTGCTTATTGGGTCGAAAACAAAACTTTCCAAACTTGACAAGCCATCTTTCCAAATAGGGAATACTGCCATAGCTCCAACCCCGAAGGTCAAGAATCTAGGGGTTATGCTTGATGAAAATCTGAAAATGGACAAGCAGATCTCCAACATCATTAGCACGGCTCATATGCATCTCAGGAACATTGGAAAACTCTGCAACTATCTGAGTGCTGATACTACTTCAAGACTTGTCCTATCTCTGGTCATGTCCTGAGTAGATTACTGCAACAGCCTCCTCAACAACGTCAACCAAGATCAGCTACGTCGCCTTCAAGCCCTCCAAAACACTGCTGCAAGAATCATTACAAAGTCTAAAGTCTTCGATCACGTTACTCCAATTCTAAACGATTTACACTGGCTGCCAATCACCGCAAGAATTGACTACAAAACTATTGTAATGACATACAAGTGTCTCAACGGAATGGCCCCTGACTACCTCGCAGAGTTACTGCCCCTGTATCAGCCCCACGCTCACTGAGATCACAAAACCAAATGCTAGTGACAGTGCCAAACATCAAAACCAACTTTGGCTAAAGGTCGTTCGCCTTCAATTCAGCAATGAAGTGGAATGACATAAACTCAATGGTTTAAACTCAAAACCAGCGAGTCACTAACATCTTTTAAGACTGGCCTCAAAACATTTCTTTTCAAGTGTCAATTTCCATCTTAAGCGCACAAAGCATTTATTAGTGAATGATGCGCTATATCAATGCAATTATTATTATTATTATTATTATTATTATTATTATTACTATTATAAATACTTGTTGATGTATGTATGCCATACATGCAGGTATCATCTTCATCCACTGCATATTTATAATGTACGAAGTTTAGAGAGCATGATCTGTTTTATACATGAACATCAGTCTACAAGATGCTGAATCAAAGATAAATTTATGCTTAAATGTTTAAAATTTCATTTACTTCTTATTATTTCAATGGGCTTGTTTCAACAGATAAACAAGCCTGACTTCATGGTGAAACCAATAGCTAAATTTTTGTTTTAAATGCAGTATCTTAGATTTCAGTGTAGTGACTAACACTGGGTCTTTATGTTATGTTGCAATGAAAACATGAGCCAGGGAAAATCTCATAAAATACTCAGGATTCCTGTTTCCTGTAAATTCCAGATCAGTTTGATATGATTGTTGCTGGAAAGTTTAGAGCTCACATTAGTTAATATTTATGAAGTCAGGACATTGTATTGAAATTCTGAATATTTTATTTGTAATGTTACATTCCACTGCATTTATTCAGGACAATAGGAGTGTTGGAAATCAGTACCATATTAGATACTTTATCCTGATTCTGTAATCAGAGGCAGTTTACCCTGCTCTATGGGTGGTGGGGTAGCCTAGTGGTTAAAGTGTCCACTCGTCACGCCGAAGACCTAGGTTTGATTCCCCACATGGGTATAATGTTGAAGCTCATTTCTGGTATCCCCTGCCATGATATTGCTGGAGTATTGATAAAAGCAGCATAAAACTAAAGTCACTCGCTCACTCACTAGTGTTGAGAATTGGTTAAAATCTCATAATTGATGATTGTTTCATTTCAACCGACCAATCATCAAAAATAATTGGTTAACGTCACGTATGAAATTTGTTAATGCACCCAAAAATAAGGAAAAAAACGTAGTTCTTTGGGGTTTTTTTGGCAAACTTTCACATCTTTAAAGTATGACTAGTATGTTAGGAACATAAATTTCTTGGAGTCTTTAAGATAAAGTCAATCATGATTTGGAATGAGCTTGTAGTGCTTATGAAATGTAACGGACAAAACCGACCTTATGAAAAATATTCTTAATGAAAACAAGTGTTCCAGAATAGTTTGTGTTCGATTATGAGAAAACATGATCAATTGGTTGGTCGTTTAGTCCCTGTGACCAATCTTCGATTATTTCAATTAATTGCAGGGCTCCAGATTAGGGCCGTATCGGCGTATGTATGGATAAAAAATATGCACGATACGGTAGGAAATAATTTAGAAACAGTAGCAGATACGCACCACAGCAGTGGTGTATGGTCTTAGAATCATTTACACGGACGTATTTATCTGAAAAAAGTATTGTTTTATTGTTATTTACCTGTTTACACAAGAGTAGCAATGTTGTGGTGCATATATGAAACGAAACACAAGATCACATACTCCATTAAATTCAATTCAGTACTCTAAAAGTTTTTCCAGTACTCCTAGATTTAAAAAATAAGGAGTACGTACGTACTCCTGATGTTGAAAAATTATCTGGAGCCCTGTAATTGGATCACCACTATCACTCACTCTCTGGTGGTGTTGTAGCTGTGTACCATATGTGGTAGTAACAGTCTTATTAATCATCCATGAGAAGCAAATTGTTCATTTTCTTTTGCGTGATTGTAAGGGACTTTTTTGTCAAGTCTACTGTTGTTTGGTCATGGGGATTTCATGCAGCTTTTAGGTTCCAAGGCATGAAAATGGGATCCAATGATGTACTATGGCAGCAAATTAAGATTAAATTAAATTTGGGTATTTTTCATTCCTTGGAATTTCCTTGTTTGCATTGAAACATAGTTTTTGAGTGCAGGAAATATGACATGGGCTCGGTGTTTATAATATATAATAACACATCTAGGATAATGACATGGGCTCGGTGTTTATAATATATAATAACATATCTAGGATAATGACATGGGCTCGGTGTTTATAATATAATAACATATCTAGGATAATGACATGGGCTCGGTGTTTATAATATAATAACATATCTAGGATAATGACATGGGCTCGTTTATAATATATAATAACATTTCTTGGATAATGACATGGGCTCGGTGTTTATAATACATGTATATAATAACATATCTAGGATAATGACATGGGCTCGTTGTTTATAATATATAATAACATATCTAGGATAATGACATGGGCTCGGTGTTTATAATATATACATATCTAGGATAAGTTCGTGAATGAATAGAAATCATCAGAGAAATGGAGAATTAGTTTGTATGATTTGGACATCCATACTGTTGTGTGTGAGCACATAGTAGCTGCACCCACTGTCATGAAATGCCTGCAGGATGCACTATTTTGCATCATATTCAGTTTTTGAAATTGAGCGTTAAATTCAAGGGGTGATTGCCCCCCATGTTATAAGTTGAAGCTTGTAGGGTCTCAAACACAAGTACTGTTGGTCACAAGTACACCATGGTCGTCTCTTAGTTTTGAACTCTACACAATGCAGCAAGGCTGGCTGTGGTTTGACGAGACAGGGTTCACAGATGGGACCCCCCGGCCCCTTTGTGTCAACTGTGCATTGTTGAACTGGTTCTTCTGCAAAGTATTGAATTTTGATTGCAAATTTGAGTTCATTTGTAATATTCTCTATACAAGATTATTTATTTTATTACATAGTTGTTATGGTTGGCGGTAATAAAAATATTTGTAAATAGTGATCATTTAATTTTTTATTTATTTTATACAGGAACAATTTACAATTTATCATGTCTTCATGTTTTCTACAGATAATGGTGACTATGCTAAGATCTGGGATGACCATTGCCAGAACAAAGAGGTCCTGGCCCAGTATGCCGACGCCATGCACCATCTGGCGCTGGACCATTGGTCCAAGAAGCCAGAGTCACGGATAGACTGGTGCAGGGACACTGCCCTCGAGTTCTTCCACCATGGAGGGCTCAAGCAAGCACTGGAGAAGGATGTCAGGAAGTACAAATATCGGTGCAAGGAAGAGAAGGTTGATGACGGAACACAGGTACAGCTGGGTGTGAAGGAGGAAGAGCAGGATCAAACACAGCCAAGGACAAAGACACAAGATGACCCATGGAATTTCAGCTACAATAAGATGTAATTATTGTTTTACACTCAGCTTCCTTATGTCATATAATCAATGTTCGCTTCAGTTGTAGAAGGACCATAAACCCATTTTGAGTTTGTAGGTCTCACTAAAGTTTAGACATGATGTCTCACAATATGGCTGAAATATGGCCGATGTATCTCTATGGAGATTCCAGGTTAGACGAGGCCCCCAGTACCAGATGGTGGTGTACCTGTGGCGACACTAGGTTAGACGAGGTCCCCAGTACCAGATGGTGATCTACCTGTGGAGATTCCAGGTTAGGCTAGGCCTCCAGTACCAGATGGTGGTCTACCTGTGGAGATTCCAAGTTAGGCTAGGCCTCCAGTACCAGATGGTGGTCTACCTGTGACAGAGTATGTCCCCAGTACCCCATGCTTGATGGGGTTTCCAAGGAATATTAGGTTCACAGTACAAAATGTGCTTGATGGGGTTTCCAAGGAATAGTAGGTTCACAGTACAAAATGTGGTTGATGGCATTTCCAGGGAATAGCAGGTTCACAGTACAAAATGTGCTTGATGATTTTTCCATGGAATAGTAGGTTCACAGTACAAAATGTGCTTGATGATTTTTCTCCAGGGAATAGTAGGTTCACAGTACAAAATGTGCTTAATGGGGTTTCCAAGGAATAGTAGGTTCACCGTACAAAATGTGCTTGATGGGGTTTCCAAGGAATAGTAGGTTCACAGTACGAAATGTGCTTGATGATTTTTCCAGGGAATAGTAGGTTCACAGTACAAAATGTGCTTGATTGGGTTTCCAAGGAATAGTAGGTTCACCGTACAAAATGTGCTTGATGGGGTTTCCAAGGAATAGTAGGTTCACAGTACAAAATGTGCTTGATGGGGTTTCCAAGGAATAGTAGGTTCACAGTACAAAATGTGCTTGATGGGGTTTCCAAGGAATAGTAGGTTCACAGTACAAAATGTGCTTGATGGGGTTTCCAAGGAATAGTAGGTTCACCGTACAAAATGTGCTTGATGGGGTTTCCAAGGAATAGTAGGTTCACAGTACAAAATGTGATTGATGGGGTTTCCAAGGAATAGTAGGTTCACAGTACAAAATGTGCTTGATGATTTTTCTATGGAATAGTAGGTTCACAGTACAAAATGTGCTTGATGATTTTTCCAGGGAATAGTAGGTTCACAGTACAAAATGTGCTTGATGGGGTTTCCAGGGAATAGTAGGTTTACGGTACAAAATGTGCTTCATGATTTTTCCAAGGAATAGTAGGTTCACAGTACAATATGTGCTTGATGATTTTTCCATGGAATAGTAGGTTCACAGTACAAAATGTGCTTGATGGGGTTTCCAGGGAATAGTAGGTTTACGGTACAAAATGTGCTTGATGATTTTTCCAAGGAATAGTAAGTTCACAGTACAAAATGTGCTTGATGGGGTTTCCAAGGAATAGTAGGTTCACAGTACAAAATGTGCTTGGTGGGGTTTCCAGGGAATAGTAGGTTCACAGTACAAAATGTGCTTAGAGGGTTTCCAAGGAATAGTAGGTTCACAGTACAAAATGTGCTTGATGGGGTTTCCAGGGAATAGTAGGTTTACGGTACAAAATGTGCTTGATGATTTTTCCAAGGAATAGTAAGTTCACAGTACAAAATGTGCTTGATGGGGTTTCCAAGGAATAGTAGGTTCACAGTACAAAATGTGCTTGATGATTTTTCCAAGGAATAGTAAGTTCACAGTACAAAATGTGCTTGATGGGGTTTCCAGGGAATAGTAGGTTCACAGTACAAAATGTGCTTGACTGGGTTTCCAAGGAATAGTAGGTTCACAGTACAAAATGTGCTTGATGGGGTTTCCAAGGAATAGTAGGTTTACGGTACAAATTGTGCTTATAGGGTTTCCAAGGAATAGTGGGTTCACAGCACAGCATGTGCTTGATGGGGTTTCCAGGGAATAGTAGATTTACAGTACAAAATGTGCTTATAGGGTTTCCAAGGAATAGTAGGCTCACGGTACAAAATGTGCTTGAAGGTGGATCAGAGTGGCAAATATGTCACAATAACCCAGTGAGCTTCATGGGAGAAGGTACCACAAACATGTTGGTACCATGACACATCATTGATCAATTCGCCTGATGCTCAATGTTGTCAGTTCTCAGATTATGAGATACAAGGAACAAATGCTGTGATAGAACATCACCTAATTACACCATGTTTTTTTGTAATGCACCACCTTAAAATGTTTTCAACATATACAGAGATGTTCTGAAACAAAGTGGACCTAGCTGAACCCGAAATAGTTCATACCTATGGTAATAATATTTTTTCAACCTCCAGGTTAGAATGTGTCCAGGGGTCTTATACTTTGTCAGATCAACAGACATTCCTTTACCAAGAGGGACTAAAATAGTATTTTTCCAAATGTGCTTAGAAATGAAGTGTGAGACACTGATAAAAGTTTAGATTTGGCTGTAATAGTGCTGCAGCAAAGACATCAGTCACTACTCAATCATTGCCCTCCTGTCTTCACAAGTCTCACTGAATGATGTCATATGATGGCATTCGTCAGGTAGATTTAAAAACAGATAATACACATCATAACTAGACATGCTCTAGCTGTTGTGTAAGTAATGATAGGTTTGGATCCATTGACCAATGGGATAATATATTTATATTAAGTTAAGGATTGTTATGATAAACATCAATTTCAATCACAACTGGACGTGCAACCAGGTGTGAAAGTAGTCCCGCTATGGACAGTCATACATGAGACCAGGTTGGCAAAGACTGGACAATTAGCACATCATCAACAAACATCAATTATCCATTTACACTGACAGGCTAGTGTTTCTTTAATCTGAGGCTGATGCCCACAGCAAATAAGGACAACACTATATTCTCCGCATCATTCTGGGGGTCTGTTGTTTAGTCAGCGCTAATGATTTACACTCCGGGTGTGTGGCTTGTGGACCCAGGGAAAATAACTAATAGTGAACAAACATCATCACCTGGGCTCAAATAGGCAAATAAGCAACACTGTAATGCTGTGAAACATCAGTTTTCATGTGTCATATGTCCAGTGTAATTATTCCCACTTGACAACAACTTCTCATTGTCCTAAATGTCATCCTTCATTTCCTATTGTTAACAAATGCTTGTCAAGACCAGGACATGGCTTCCAGGATTGCCTTTTATTCAACACCTCCTGTACTATTTCTTTAAGGACCATCTCAGTCGTATTTGGGTCAGCCTGAGTAATTCTGTAGTGTTAACACAACCTCTATCCTGTATCAGTAATCTTCTGTATCGGAACTTAAACAAGGGCATGTCTGTGGCAAGCAAATTGTCATCACCCCTTGTCACCACCCTTGTCATCACCCCTTGTCACCACCCCTTGTCCACACCCTTGTCACCACCTCTTGTCCACACACTTGTCACTACCCTTGTCACCACCCCTTGTCCACACCCTTGTCATGACCCCTTGTCACCACCCCTTGTCATCACCCTTGTCATCACCCCTTGTCCACACCCTTGTCCACACCCTTGTCATCACCCCTTGTCACCACCCTTGTCATCACCCCTTGTCACCACCCCTTGTCCACACCCTTGTCACCACCTCTTGTCCACACACTTGTCACTACCCTTGTCATCATCCCTTGTCATCACCCTTGTCATCACCCCTTGTCATCACCCCTTGTCCACACCCTTGTCCACACCCTTGTCATCACCCTTGTCATCACCCTTGTCACCACCCCTTGACACCACCTCTTGTCACCACCCCTTGTCACCACCCTTGTCATCACCCCTTGTCCACACCCTTGTCCACACCCTTGTCATCACCCTTGTCCACACCCTTATCACCACCTCTTGTCCACACCCTTATCACCACCTCTTGTCACCACCTTTTGTCACCACCCCTTGTCGCCACCCCTTGTCACCACCCATTGTCACCACCCCTTATCACCACCTCTTGTCACCACCCCTTGTCACCACTTCTTGTCACCACCCCTTGTCACCACTTCTTGTCACCACCCCTTGTCACCACTTCTTGTCACCACCCCTTGTCACCACTTCTTGTCACCACCCCATGTCACCTATTCTTGTCACCACCCGTTGTCACCACCTCTTGTCCCCTTGTCACCACTTCTTGTCACCACCCCATGTCACCACTTCTTGTCACCACCCCTTGTCACCACTTCTTGTCACCACTTCTTGTCACCACCTCTTGTCACCACCTCTTGTCACCACTTCTTGTCACCACCCCTTGTCCACCTCTTGTCACCACCCCTTGTCACCAATCTTTGTCACCACTCCTTGTCACCACCCCATGTCACCACACATTGTCACCACCCAGTGTCACTACTCTTTGTCGCCTACCTTGTCACCACCTCTTGTCACCAAGCCTTTTCACCAGTCCTGGTCACCAGTACTGTCCTGTCTCCTTGTAACTTTAACTCTCAAGGTTATCTCCAATCCACATTCCATGTTTTTTTATTATTATGAAAGAACATCTGTTTTACAGTCTTTTCCTGTCACCGTCTGGGCTTATCATGAATACTATCTGCCCCAGTGGTCCATTAACCTAGGCTCACTGAGGACAACGCTGTCACAAATGGACTTGTCAGTGTAGTGTGGACATCACTGACAACCTTTTTAGATTGATTTGAGTGAGGCGGGAAGACATCAGGAGAATGTCTTCATGTGCCTGAAACAGGGCTGAGGAAAAGGTATCTGTTATACCATGTTTTGTCCACAATGGAGATTCTGTGAATAGTCCCCCAGTATCCCATCCTTTTGTCCTGTAGAGATTCCAGATCAGAGTAGGCCTCCAGTACCCCATGCTTGTCTCCCTGTGGAGATTCTATGACATAATAGGTCCCAGTACCCCATGTTTGTCCTCCTGTGGAGATTCTATGACATAATAGGTCCTCAGTACACCATGGTTGTCTCCCCTGAGGAGAATCCAGGTAAGAATAGGTCCCCAGTACCTCATGCTTGTCTCCCTTTCTAGATTCTGTGACATTATAGG